CCATCTACGCATCCATCCGTCCATCCATCCATCCACCCACCCACCCACCAATCCATCTTCCCATTCATCTATCCAGTGATCCATCTGCCACCCACCCACTCACCATCCATCCATCCACCTACTATATTCATTAATTCCCTCCCTCCCTCATTCAGTAAGTCTTTATCAGGCACCCACTGTGTATCCAGCACGAAGCTGAGAGTTTTGGGAAATAATGAGATGTATCCATAAAACCTCATAGGGATAGTAAAGGAGCCATTCTGGACACTAAATGGGCACATGCCTGCAACGTGGAGAGCAAAAGCTTGAGTATTAGTAATTTAATGTCTCTGGAAGGAGGACATGGACCCTCTGAAATTATATGCAAAATGGTGCATCTGTATGTATGTGTAAATGTTCTTGGGAAAGAGTCCATAGCTTTCAACAGATTCTCAAAGGTGTTAGGAAACTTGGTTCTAGACAGTTTCTTTGACACTGTTGCAGTGTTCTCTTAACTGTGACAAAAACCCTGACAAGGCCGGATATAAATGTGTTGTAAAGGAGAGGGCCCTAGTGGACTGGTGGGATTTGGAGAAACGAGGAGAAGAGTGGAGGGCACTCCAGGGGGCACAGCCGGGGCAGAGCCGGAGGTTGGAACAAACACGGCCTGGGCTGGGGACGTGGCCTGGCTGGAGCAGAGATCAGCAGGTCCGCAGGAGGAGGGATGAGGGATGGGGCTGAAACAGGAGGCAAAAGCAAGACAGGGGGTCACTCCCTTTATATCCTCCCGCTACTGCGGCTCACCTCTTCCGAGCCCCAGCCATGGGGGAGGGTGCCAAGGGGTCCCCTCTGGAAGGGCTGGAGCAGCTCAGCCGGGGGTCACTCCCCCAGCGGGGCAGCAGGGAGGGCTCAGGGGTTGGGGGCGACAGGCCATGGAAGCTCCGAGCACGGGGCCGGGGGACAGCGCCTGGAGGTCTGTGGAAGGCCCTGGGTGGCTGCTCGCTGGAGTTGAGCTGGAAGTCATCATCCATGGAGATGTAGGGGGCCAGCATCTCCAGATCCAGAGCATCGACGTCCTGCGGGAGGCAGGAGGAGGTTAAGAGCAAGGGCCTCAGCCTCAGGTGGGCCTGAGCTGGGCTCCCAGCTCCACCACCTCTGAGTTGTGTGCCCGAGGTCAAGAGTCTGAGCTTCACTTTCCTCATCGGTAAAATGGGTGGAAGGACTCTGTGTAGCCAGTCACCAAGATGGCCCCCAAGGATCCTCGCCTCTTGGTATTTGAGCCCTAGTGTAATCCCCCACTACAGCAACTGGGGTTGAGCTGGGAACAATAGGCTATTGAGGAGAAGACAGTGTGGGACTCCCGACATTAGGTTATAAACATAGCATGGCTTCTGTTTTTGCTGCAAACTCTCTCGGGTCACGTGCTCTGGGGGAAGCCCTACAGAGAGGCTCAAATGGCAAGAAACTGAGACGTCCTGCCAACAGATGAGCGAGTGATCTTAGAAGCGCATCCTGTAGTCCCTTGCAAGCCTTCAAGTGATGGCAGCCCTGGGTGATGACATCTCGACTGCAACCTCGAGAGAGAGACCCGGAGCAAACGCCACCCCGCTGAGTGGCTCCCAGGCCCCTGATTCCCAGAAATTACGTGAGGTTGTACATGCCTGTTATTTTCAGTTTTAGGGGAATTTGTTACCCACAAACAAATGACAGGTAGGATTTTGATCCCAAGAGTGGGGTGCTGCCCTACGGCTTTGGCACTGGGCAGGGGGTGGGGGCTGGAAGGGCTCTGGAGAGCCTGTCGGAGCCTAGACTGCCTTGAACAAACAACGTGAAGCATGAGGAGCTGGCCCGTGAGGGCATAAAGGGAGGTGAGGAATGCGTGACCAGAAGTCTGAGGAAAGGAGGTTTTTGTTGTGTGGTGGCTAAAGTTTTAGTGTCGCGTGCGGTTTTGTGGAACTCAGAATAGGTAACTAGTGAGCCAGGCGATCCAGCTACAAGATTCCCAGCCCGAGTGCTGAATGGCTGCCTGATTTCTTCTTGCCACTTGGAGTAAAGGCAAGTGGAGAGAGGAGCTGAAGGAGAAATGTGAAACGCGAAGGAGCTGGGGACTTGAAGGTCTGGAAGATTCTCAACCTCGCCGTTCAAATGAAGAATTAATTTTACCCAAAACGAGGTGCAGCCTTTGCCCCAGCTCCTTGGGATTTCCTGAGTGACAGGCGTGTCTTTGCTCCTCATGATGAGCCTCTGGGGCCACATCTGACAGCGAATGCCAACAAGATGACTCAGGCTGGGGGCTGGCTGTGCCCAAAGAGCCAACCATGTGATGAGAGGATTAGGGCCACATGAGACCAGCCTGACCTCCAGGAGAAGCGTGTGTGTTGGGGAAGTAGAGATGAAGATCAAGGTCAACTGCATGGGCAATAATTCAGCCATGCCTACATAATGACCCTTAACTGAAAACTCTGGACACCTGGGGCACCTGCTTGGCTCAGTGCGTTGTGTCTGCCTCTTGGTTTCAGCTCAGGTCATGATCTCAGGGATTGAGCTCCACTTCAGGCTCTGAGTTCAGCAGGAGTCTGCTTGGATATTCTCTCCCTCTGCCCCTCCCCCTGCTCACGCTCTCTCTCTCTCTCTCAAATAAATAATAAATCTTTAAAAAACAAACTCTGGACACCACAACTTGGGTGAGCTTCCTGGTGTGGCAATACGCCATGTGTGCTGCTGGGAGCATGACATGTCCCCAGGGTCATGAAAGTTTTGCATTGGGACCCTCCCAGTCCCAGATTCCACCCTATACATTTCTTCGTTTGGCTGTAATATTCTTTTGAAGTAATAAAACTATCATCATAAGTCCAGTGCTGTCCTAAGTTCTAGAGCTACTTCTAGCAAATTATTGAGACTGAGGGAGTCAGTGGGCATCTCTGAATTTGTAGGCAGCTGGTCTATAGTGAGGGTGGCCCTGGGCACGCTCCTCCCACCCCGAGCTTGCAGCTGATGCTAGAAGTCTTGGACAGACTTGGCAGACGAGAGGCCTGCGGCCCTCACCTTGGGTTTCGCTGACCCTGGGAACTCCCCAGGTGGCAAAGGATGCGAAAACTGAGCAGAGAAGAGCACTCTTGGGAGGGCATGGTCTAAAGATGAGGCCCAGGGTATGACTATAAAATTCTTTGTTAAGGAAGATCAAAGTGTTGCCTAGAATATCCCTTAGTCAGACAATGGCACTTTAGAGTTTAAGGATGTGCCCCACATATATCCTCTCAATCAGACAACGGGGCTTCTGTTAAATTTCTGAGGACTGTCACTCAGCATCTCAGCAAAAGCCCAAAGCAGAGAAGGGCTTATCTCAAAGAGATCGTGGGCATGACTTCTGTCTAAAGGAGTAACCTCCGAAGAGATTCACATAAGACCCACACATTTTTTTTTAAGACTTTTTTATAAGATTTTTTTTTAAAAGATTTTTTATTTGTTTATTTGACAGAGAGAGACAGAGCGAGAGAGGGAACACAAACAGAGGGAGTGGGAGAGGGAGAAGCAGGCTTCCCGCCGAGCAGGGAGCCCGATGCGGGGCTCGATCCCGGGACCCTGGGATCATGACCTGAGCTGAAGGCAGATGCTTAACTGACTGAGCCACCCAGGCGCCCTTTTTTTAAGATTATTATATAAACAGTCCAAGCTGGAAGGGACAGAGATGGTACTAAATGAAAAGAGACCTTTGGGCCACCAAAGTTCCCTAACGAGAAAGAAGGTCATGAAAACCCTCTCAGCTGCAAATACACATTACCCTTTATGAAAAAGCAAGGAGGACTCCAAGTGAGGAGCCCAGCGTCTACAGAGTGGAGACAAGAACCATGGAGAAAGGCCCTAGGAAGTAGTAGGAATGAGTTCTGATCAAGGAACTTCCCATAGTTGCCCAACCGATTTCAAAACTGCTGTCGACCAGTGACACCTGTATGCGCTCCAGTCCTCTCCCTCTTTTTGAACAGGGGAATGCATGGCCTTACTCTGTGCCTGTCCCACCACTGTATGCGGGGCATGTGGCTGGCAGCACATCACTTGTCTCTTTAGTTCACGGGCCAACAGGGTGAGCGCTTCACGCCCAGACCTGATGTAGGTGATGAGGTTCCAGACATTAGGCTGATACTGTCATGGGAAGAGAATTTGGGGGCACTTGGGAGGGGGGTGAGTATGTTTTGCATGAGGGAGAGACATGAATGATTGGGGGCCCCAATGATCCTTGCCTTCTGGTGTATGTGGATGCCTTCTGAATTGTACCAGGGTTGGTCTCTATGACCAATACAATACAGTGAAGTGACGGTGTGTTGCTTCTGAGATTAGGTTATAGAGGACTGCATTTTCTGTCTTGGGCTCACTCTCATTATCTCCTGGGTTCCTTGCCTTCAGGGAAGCCAGAGAGCCTACGTGGTAAGGAACTGAGGCCTCCAGCCAGAGCCAATGAGGGACTGATGCCTGCCAACAACCATGTGTGTGAGCTTGGACGTGGATCCTCTAGCCCCACATGACTGTACCCCTGATGGAGAGCTTGACTTCAGTCTCACAAGAGACTCGGCAAAAACCATCCAGCTGAGCTGCTCCCAGATTCCTGAATCTCAGAAATGGTGTGACACAATAAATGTTAGTTGTTTCAAGGTGCTTGGTTTGGGGGTGATTTGTTATGGAGCAATAGATAACTACTACATCATGTTACTGTCATTCATCTAGCCGCTCAATCATCCAAACATTATTCATCCATCTGTCATCTATCCAATGAACCAGTGGCCTAACTACCCATCCAAACATCCATTATCCATCCATCCATCCATCCGTCCATCCATCCATCCGTCCATCCATCCATCCATCCATCCATCCATCCGTCTAACCGTCACCCATCCATCTATCCCCCATCCTCCACCTAATGAATATAGTGGTCCATTGAGCCACCCATCCATCCATATATCTAACCATCACCCATCCATCTATCCCCCATCATCACCTAATGAATACAGTTGTCCATCCATCCATCCCTCCATCTGTCTGTCTAACCATCACCCATCCATCTATCCACCATCATCCACCTAAAGAATATAATGGCCTTTCTATCCATCCATCCACTCGTCCCCTCAACCATGCTACCACCCTCTCTAAAGCTCAGATATGTCAGTCCCCAGAGCACAGAGGTAAGTAAAGACTGTTCCTTCCAGGCCAGCCCTTACCTGAGCTATATCTAGATCTGTCTCCACAGCCTCAAGGTCTTTCCCCGAGGCCAAGAGTTTGTGTGTATTCTCCATGTTCACGGGTGGTTCATCTGGGAGATCGGCCTGTGGGGAGAGAGTAGACACTTAAGGAAATCTGGAGTTTAGGAAATGTTAACAGTAAGATAGTGTGGACATCGGCGCTCAGGGGCAGAAATCAGGGTTAAATGTCAGATAGCTCGGACACCAAGGGGGTCAAACAGCAAAAGCAAATGAATTCTGGACCTGGGTGTTCAGAAGGTGGAAGGGGCCAGGGATAGATTGACAGGGAAAACTCGAAGATTCAAAGACCAAAGCCTGAGGCCAAGATATTCAGGCCCTCTTGGTGTCTGGAGTCTGGGTAAAATGATGCAGAGTCCACTCTCCCAGGTGTACAGGTGAGGTCAAAGGCCACCGTCTTATTTCTCTGGTGGAGAGAAGATCTGGGAGGTGTGGGGGGTTGGGGAAGGATGAGGAGAGTCAACACCAGATAATGTGGGCCCCCGAGTCAAAGGTCACACTATCTGAACTCAAGTAAAAAAAAATAACTGCTATGGTATATCGGGCACCTACTAGGTATCAGGTATCTACTAAGCGCTTCCCATGAATGATCGCAATGAACCCTCACTTACACCAATGAGATGGCTACTTGCTATGATCCTAATTTCATAGATGAAGACACTGAGGGGCCACGTGTCCAGGGTAACATAGCTGGTAAGTGGCAGATTCAGGATTTGAATCCTGGTCTGTGTCATTTAAGACATTAGACATTCTTGACTCTGAGAGCCTGGATGATGGGTCACAAGCAGGAGGAGGGAGGGGTTACCCATGCCAGTCCCCAATGACCTAGGTTTTGGTCCAGATAACAGTTGAAGAATCTGGGATCTAGGTCTTAAAGGAACCCCATCTCACCCCAACCTTCCCACTGCACAGAGGGAGAAACTGAGGCCCAGAGAATAGCAAGATTCAAGCCAAAGGCCAAAGCAGCCTGGATGCTGAGGGTTTACTTGGGAGGGACGGCTTACTGGAAGAGGACTTTGGGGGCGCCGTGTGGCTGGGGGTGCGCTGGGGGTGGCGGCTCCTGAAGTCCCATCCAGGATAGGTGCCAGGAGGCGACGCAGGTCAGGGCTGCAGAAGCGGCGGGGGTCAGCGGCCAGGGTGGCCTCGCTCAGGGCAGGGGGGTGCAGGAAGGCCAGGATCCGGGGACCAGAGCCATCTACGGGACACACAGATGGGGAGGACACAGGATGGTTATCCAGGGCTGAGGGGCAGAGCCCTCCCCACCAACCCCAGGGAGCTTCATTGACATTTTCTATAAACAGTCAGGGTGGAGGCTGTTCACAGTGCTGGGGAGCTGATTTCTGGAGAACCCTTGAGGGACCAGGTTCTATCCCTCCAGTTGCCAGACTGTGGTGAGACCCTGGAGGGTCCTAGAGGGGCCAGTGTGGGGTGGGGGGCACACAGTAGGCTGGGGAGAGTAGCAACTGCCCAATGATGGGGAAACGTTTTAGTATTTAAAATCAGCATGGCCAGACCAAGGCACACGACTGACCCGATTCTCCAATGGCACAGACCAGCAATCAGCCACTCTGCTCTGGGGGGGGCTTGCATATTAGGAGAAAAGACTGGCCCCAGGCCCTCAAGAAGGTTCTAAGGTCCCTGGAGGTGAGTTTTGAGCCAGAAAAGGAAAGGATACCAGCGACCCCACACCACACCCAGGAGCATGGGCTGCCAGCAACAGCTTGAAGAAGGTGATGGCCTTGAAGAACCAACATGAAGAGAAACTCCTCCAGGATTGGGGGGGGGTCAGGTGGGAAAGAAGGAAGAGGGAGAAAGGAGCCAGACTCAGGAGGATCAGGATTACTGGATGCCAGTGAGGAGTGAGGTGGGAGCAGGGAACCAGCTGAAGGGTGGGGGCAATGGGGAGCCATAGCAGGATTCCAAGCAGAGGAGCAACAAGACTGAAGCAATCATCCCAGGGACAGAGGAGAAGTGGAAGGACAGAAGAGAGAAGAGCATTCTGGGCAGAGGAAGCTGCCAGTGCACAGGCCGCGAGGCATGAGAGACTAGCATTCCGACAGCACTAAGGAAGCTGGGAGCTCAAAGTGAGCGAGAAGGGGAGGGAGGCAGGAGTCAGGTCACACAGGGCCTGGTGAGCCCCATTCTTAAAGCGTCTGGGCTTTCCGTCAAGCGTCCTGGGGTCACAACCCCTCCCAGTCCCAGCCCTGCCCCATACCAAAGCTGTCCCCGGAATTAGGGGCGTCCTTCTGGGAAGGGGTGCCCCTCTGAACGGGTCTGCGAGAGTGTCTCTCCGTTTGCTCCAGGGACAGCACCACTCCGGTCTCTTCCACCCGGCTGGGATATAGGGCAAAAAGGGGAGCGGAAGTCAGGGAGCATCCTCGGCCCCGGCCCAGGCAGCCCCCTTAGATGATGTCCCATCACAGGAGGTGATCTTGTTCAGGGGCAGGAGGGCATTGTGCAGAAAATAATTTGCCACATTTACTTGTTTCTTTTACGGATTTAATTTTGGTTGGATGCTTTTTATTATAATAGCATTTAAAATAAAGTTATGTGTGTCTTCCCAAGCTCTCTCTGTGGAAGGAGACAGGGGAAAAAAAAAAAAAAAAGAGTTGGCATTTAACACAGCTTGGATAGAAAGGGGAGATGGGTGGGGGGGAACGGGGAACTGAGGTGAGAGTCAAAAGGCATAAGAACGAAATATTCTCTTTATATTTACTTATAAACATACTCTTATAAATGATTGATGAATTATATATATTTAACATTCTTACATTACCAAATATGAAGAATTCAGAGGGATATACTTTAATGAATAAGATTTTATTTATGAAGTTTCTATTCATAGACATTTTTCATATTCAAGGGAATGGATTTATAAATATATCCTTCTTATGCCCCCGCGCCTACCTTCTCCCCAGTCTCTAGCTGCTGAGACAACCCAAATGTTCTGAGCCCAATCGGCTTTTGGAGAATTGGCCAGGGGGGCTGAAAATCAGGCCCTCGTTTGCATCTCATTTGCATGACAATACCCAGGCTGGCACATGGGTGGTCCCCCCACTGGCTCTTTGAGAAGCTACACCCCTTCCCCACCCTCACCAAACCCCTACTGGGCTGGACACCTCCCAGTTTAGGCTGGACCAAAGCCACACCTTCCCCTTTTTGAAAAAACGCCAGCACGCACCTGGCCCACATGTATACGCACGGTTCACGGGAACACAAACAGGAGCACTCATATATATCCAAGTGTATACACAGAGAGATGTGCACTCATAATCCCTATTCTCACGCTCACGCATGTGCATATTCGGCACATGAAGTTGACTCATTCGTTCATTCATTCGTTCATTCCATAAACATGTCCTAGACAACTAGTACTGTCTGGTGGCTAAGAGCAATGGACCTACAGCCAGCAGCCTGGGGTCAAATCCCAGTCGTGCCACTTAGAAGTTGTGTAACCTCGAGCCTGTGGCTGAACCTTTCTGTGCCTCATTTTCTTCCTCTGTAAAGAGGCAATATAATAATACCTCCTCCCAGGCGCCTGGGTGGCTCAGTTGGTTAAGCGTCTGCCCTCAGCTCAGGTCATGATCCCAGGGTCCTGGGATCGAGTCCTGCATCGGGCTCCCTGCTCATCACAGAGTCTACTACTCCCCCCTCTAATGCTCCTCCCTGCTCATGCTCTCTCTCTCTCAAATAAATAAGTAAATAAAATCTAAAAAAAATAATAATAATACCTCCTCCCCAGGTTATTAGGAGGCCTCAGTGGGCTAATACACATAAAATGCATAGAACTGTGCCTGGCAAATGGTGAGCTCTATGTAAGTATTTGCGATTCTTGTTTATTGAACAACTACTAGGTGCCAGGCGCTGTTCTAGGTGCTGAAGATTCAGCAGTGCCCTGTGTAAATGAGTTTTATTCTTATAAAGCAATTGCTCACTGCAATGGAGGGAGGCTTAGGTCTGGAAGGGGAGGAGTTTTTATACTACAAAGTGTAAGCATCTGAGCACACACAAATAGCCACACAACTGCACACCACACAACGTACACATAACAAGGACAATTAATACCATATGCTCCTTATTTCACTGTAATTAAGTAAGCTATTCCTTTTTCACCCATGTCTGCCAATGAAGATGAACTCTCCGGGCCTACTCTTTGCTTAGAGTACAGAAGACTGAAACCACAGGGCCTGGCCATAGACAGGCAAATCTTCACAATGAATAAAAGGAGTTTCCAGAAGAGGCGGGGGCAGGTCCCCTCTCCTTCGCAGTGACAATGGCGAGGCCCCTCTTGCTATGTGGACAAGTTATTCAGACTCTGATTTGGAAAGGTGTTAAAATGAGAACATTCCACAGATGATCAGTCTTGTTTTCTTGTGCCATACAAAGACTATGGATATTCCTGCTACCCGCTTTTTTTTTTTTTTTTTTTAAGTAGGTTCCACACCCAGCATGGAGCCCAACATGGGGCTTGAACTCACGACTGTGAGATCTCGAGACCTGAGCTGAGATCAAGAGCCAGATACTTAACTGACTGGAGCCACCCAGGCTCCCCTCCCCACTTCCATTTTCAAATAGAATCTGTCCTTGATCAAAAAGGAGTAGGGAAACACCTAAGGCTTTAGAAATTGATACCATGTCCTGGAAGATAATTTGCAAAGAAAAGCTGTAATTCTCTGTTTTCTGTGCTAATTTGCTGCCCCTTGTCACAATGTTGTCATGGTGAAAAACTAATATGCTGAATGCAGTGGAGGACAGCCTATGATTTACCACTGCACATCCATTAGAATGGTTAAAATTAAAAGCAAAGAAGACAAAAACAGACAACACAAAATGCTGGCAGCCACGCAGGAGAACGGGAACCCTCACATTGCTGGTGGGAAGGCAAAATGGTGCAGCCTTTTGGGAAAATGACCTGGTAGTTTCTTATGAAGTTAAATATACACTGACCATGCCTAGGTGTTTATCCAAGGGAAACGAAAACATGACCTCACAAAATCTTCTATGAGAATGTTTACAGTAGCTTTTCTCGTAATCACCCGAAATAGGAACCGGCCCAAATGTCCTCCAACTGGTGAATGGATAAACAAACTCTGGTCTGTTCATATTCATACCATAGAACACCACTCAACATTAAAAAGGAGCGGCTGTGATACACACAGCAGAGATCCATTTTAAATATATTATGCTAAGGGAAAGAAGCCAGACTCAAAATGTTCCATCCTGCAGGATTCTATGAACATGACATTCTCGAAAAGGCAAAATGCTAGGGGTCACAGAACAGCTCGGTGATTGCCAGGGACTCGGGGTGGGGGTGGGGGTTGGTTAGGGGAGGTGGGATTCACTGTGACAAAATATTTTTGGGTGATTCTCTATAGCTTGATTGTGGAAGTGATTACACAATCCCACGCCTTTGTCAAAACTCATAGTACCATAGAGCAAGAAGTGAATTTATTATATGTAAATTACACTTCAATTTTTTTTAAAAAGCAAAAAAGCCTCCATGATTCTGCTAGATTTCTTACTTTAATTTGGATATAGAGTACTTTTCAATTTCAGTGAACAGTACGCACACGTGCGTGGGTGTACACACACCCACGTACGTGTGCGTACATGCAGACACACCTGTGTGCATCCAATCACACACGGTCTGCATACACGGACATGTGAGCACTCCCTCTCACAGTCATGTGCGCGCACACACACCTAACCACACCCATGCAGACCAGACCCATGCACACCCCCTCCCACTTACCTGATCAGGAAGTGGACGCAGACGATACTCTCAGACTGGGGACCCCGGCCCCCTGACACCACTGTGGCCTGAGTCTGGGTCCACAGATAGCCACCACTCCGGGCCAGGAAGCGATACTGCCCCGTTACTGCCTGGCCCTTGCTCAGCACTGGGGAGGGGGACGGGGAGGGGTCAGGGCCATAGAAGGGGCAGATAGGGAGAAAAGGCGCTGGGGGCAGGGGCTTGGGTACCAGGGACCAGGGAAGAGAAGGTTCCTTGGGGCGTGGGGAGCAGGGAGCTGGAGTCGGGGTGTGCGGGGAGGCTCCCTGGAGCATGGGGAGCTGGGGAGCTGGTTTCAGAGTGCCAGGAAGTCTCACGTACGGGTGTGGATGCTCTGGCCAACAGCGTCCGAGTCCAGAGCGTGAATGTACTCGTAGGCGGAGCAGCCGATCAGATCATCAGGGCTGTAGCCAGCGACCTCCGCGATCCTGGGGTGGGTGCAGTGGGGCCCGGTCAGTTCAACTGGCTGAGGTGGAGGGTGGGGCTGGGGGACACAGGGATGAAGCCAGCAAGACAGAGACAGACAGGGTTGTAACAGAGAGAGAGGGAGAGTAAGAAGGAGAAAAGGGACTGTGATAGGCTGAACAATGGCCCTCGGAGAGGTCCGCCTCCTAATCCCAGGGACCTGTGACTACTGCGACCTCTGCGGGCGGGTGGGGGGGGGAAGGGGACTCTGCGGGGCTGATTAAGGGAAGGGTCCTGAGATGTGGAGCTTCACCTGGACAAGCCAGATGGGCCCCATGTGGCGACAGGGGCCCTTACAGAGGGATTCGGAGAACAGGACAGGTTCTGTGGAGGCAGATGGCTGGGCCATGGGTTTTGAAGATGGAGGAAGGGGCTCCAAACCAAGGAATGTAGGAAGATTCCAGAAGTGTTTAAGGCGAGGAGCCTCCAGAGCTCTGAGACGGTGAACGTGCGTTGTGCTGAGCCCCTTGGCTTGTGGTGATTGTTACAGACGCAGCAGGAAAGGAACAGGCGTGATGGGGATGGGGCGGGTAAAGAAAAGGAAGAGAGAGGGCGCCTGGGTGGCTCAGTTGGTTAAGCGACTGCCTTCGGCTCAGGTCACGATCCTGGAGTCCCGGGATCGAGTCCCGCATCGGGCTCCCTGCTCAGCGAGGAACCTGCTTCTCCCTCTGGCCCTCCCCCCTCTCATGTGCGCGCTCTCTCTCTCTCGCTCTCTCATTCTCACTCTCTCAAAATAAATAAATCTTTAAAAAAAAAAAAAAAGAAAAGGAAGAGAGAAAAGGAGCGGGGGAAGAGAAAGGAAGAAAGAAAACCAGAAAAAGAAAGATAGGAAGAAATGAATAAAATAAGACATAATAATGATGATAATGATTAAAAATATATACTTCTGGGGGTGCCTGGCTGGCTTAGTCGGTGGAGCATGTGACTCTTGATCTCGGGGTCATGAGTTCGAGCCCCACTGAATAAAAAAAAATTTTTTTTTTAAAAAACACAGCGCTATAGTGTTCTGCACCAGGCAACGCACTGGGTGCTCAGAACAACTCCTCTAAGGAGGTTCTGGTTTCACTCCACAGGACAGACCAGGAGAGCACGGTGCAGAGAGGCGCCCGCGTTTGGCCAAGGGTACACAGCCAGGCTTTAAACCCGAGCTGACGGAGCCCAGGCTTGCCACTCCCAAGCATGACTCCAGGGCGAGGGAAGGAGGGAAGGAGGGAAGATGCAGGAACATGAAGGGCTGAAGGGAGAGACGGGGAGAGGGAGGAAGAGAAGGAGAGAGAAAGGGAAGGATGGGGGGCGATGAATAAGGACAGTGTGCTGAGTGCTGCCTTCCGTGTTGGGCACTGCGCTAACTGCTTTAGGCGCACCGACTCGTTTAAGGAAAGCAACAGAAGGACAGGGAGGGAGTAATGAAGACTCAAAGGGGACAGGGAGAGAACCCAAGGTAAAAAGACCCACAGAGAATGCCAAGACGGACAGCCACAGAGACAGAGATAGATGGCATCAGAGAGAGACGGAGATGGACCAGAGGGAGGACCAGGGGGCGGAAGAAGAACCAGTGAGGGACCCTGGGCAGAAAGGAAGAGGAGCCGGGCCAGTGGAGGGGTGGGGGGGCAGCGGGGCTCCTGCCCACCTCTCATCACAGTAGGTGAACTTCATGTCCAGGCTGTGGCGGCTGAGGAAGGCCCCCCGGCCTAGTGGGGGCTCCAGGCTGCCCGGGTGGGGGATGGCTTCACAGATGAGCACCAGGCATTGCAGGGGAGGCTCCAAGTTGGGGCTCCCTGCTGGGGAAGTCTGTGCAGGGGGCTTGTAGGCCCTCATGTGTCCAGAGCAGTGCAGCACCTGGTTGGGGTGAGGGGGGCAAGGCGGGGAAGCACGTGGGCCTGGGGCTCCCATGGGGCTGGGAGGTATGTCTCTGGGGGCCCCACTGGGAGCTGAGAAGGAGAAACCTCTACCCTCCTCCAGGCCAGGCCCTGCCCACCTTCCAGGTGGCCGCCTTGAGGTTGAGGGTGCGCCCGCGGCTGGTGAGGGTGCTCTTCATGCGCAAGGAGAAGCACCGCTCGGTGGGAGCCTCCGGCTTCTTTTTGGACAGGCCTGGGGAGGGCCACGGGGAGGGGGGTGAGCAGGTCACCAGGAGGCTCTGGACAGGGCCCGGTTCCCTCCAGCACCCCGCCAAGCCTCATTCCCCAGAGTTGAGACCTGGAACCAGGGAGGGGCCCCCACGGGGAGGGAATGCTCCTTCAGATACCCCAGGGCAGGGCCATGTCCCCTCTTCCATCTTCCTCAGTCCAGTCGTCCAGAGGAGGAGGGGATATGCTGAGGGGAGGGTGGAGCCTCGGCTTCTATAACCAGGGTCAGAGGCCTCTGAGGAACTCACTCTGCTGGGGGGTCAGGGCGTCCTGGAGCTCCTCTTGGTCACAGGGATGGATGAAATCAAAGATACTGTGTCCGATGAGCTCAAGCTGCCAGGGAGGGAAGCAGAGGGTGTCTGGGAGGAAGAGCACTTTCACCGGAGTTCTCCTTCCCATCCTCACCAGCCCTGCCCTGATTCACGAGCCTGGATTACTTCACTAGTCCATTCATTCGTTCATTCATTCATTCACTCACTCACTCACTCACTCACTCACTCACACGCTCACTGAGCAACCATGGCTTTAGCACTATAGCCAGGCCCCCTTCCAGATGGGTAGGCAGAGCTGTGACCACACAGACAAAATCCCTGCCTCTCAGAGCTTACTGGCTAGCAGGGTAGATGGTCAATAAGGAAACAAATAAAACAAAACAACACAGATATAAAACAAAATGGTAAGTATTAGGAAGAAAACTAGCGTAAGGCCATGAAATGATGGCATGCTATCTTAGAGGCCGTAGTCAGAGTCTGTGTCTTGAGGTGATATTTAAACAAATTGCTGAACCAAGCCAGGGAGGTGGTCATGTGGCTCTCTGGAGTGTTCTGAAAAGAGGGAACAGCAAGTGCAAAGGCCCTGAGGTGAGACCCCATTCAGATCCCACCTGTTTGCCAAGCCAAAGATTCGGCCGGTTGTTTCAATTCAGGAAATGGGCATGGTGCTGGCAGGAGGGGACCTCCACAGCTCACAGTCCAGTGGAGAGGGATCTCTCTCCTCTGACAGCACCTCCTGTAGCTGGATTCAAATCCTGGCTCTGCCACTTCCTAGCTTTGGGGCCTTGGGACATTCACCTCTCTGAACCCAAGAAGAGCTCAAGCGAACAGAGAAATTGGTACCAGGAGTGGGATAACAAGGAAGGAGGAAAGGAATAGATGCCAACTATGGAGCCCATTTATGTGAAGTAGGAAAAAGAACAATAACTCCCCTGTGAGGCATGCTGTATGGATCTGCTGAAACCAGTTCTCCCCTGTGTCTCCTGCCTTCCCATCCCCAGACCGCTGCTCATACTCTTCTTCTCCCACCCAGGGCCCTGCACCCCTCCCTGTGGATGGACCCTCAGCCTCCAGTCTTATCCCTCCAACTCTACCTCTGTGGGCACCAAGAGGGAGCTTTTCAAATGGTAAATCCGATTCTGCCTCTCTCACAGCCTCTCCCCTGATGAAAATCCATCCACGGTTCCCCAGTGCCCTGGCAATAAACCTAATTTGGCCCTAAATTATCTAGCTCTGTTGGCCTCTCTAGACTTTTTTCTCTCACCTTTCCCACTGCACTCTGCACTTAGCCAGGATAAACATCTTTATTTCCCCCCAATGCTCTGTTTTATCTCACCTCTGGGTCTTTGCATATTCTGTTCCCTCAATCATGCACATTCCCAGTCTTCGCTGTTCCCATCCATTCCCCATAACTTCTGACTGGCTAAGTCCTTTAGGTTTCAGCTCAGATGTCTTCTTTTCCAGGAAGCCCTCGACTCCCCCTGAGGCTGGCTCAGGTAACCCCCTTCCCCTGGCTCACAGGGCCCCCTAGGCTGCCCCATCCCAGCCCTGACCCTTCTGCATCTTCCTGTCTGGTGACACATCTGTCTCCCCTCTGTGCTGTGCGCCCTGTAAAGGCAGGGCTAGGGCAGTCTCGGTCACCTCTGTATCCTGGCATCACCTGCACAGGGCCAGGCACAAAGCAGACAGCTCCTCTCACCTGACTGAGGCCCAGGTGTTTGCTGACATTCTCCGACAGGTAAGCCATGTCTCCCTCGGCAGTGAGCACCATGACGAAGCCCTCCAGGGCTTTCAGGTAGCAGGCATCCAGAGCTTCGCCCCCTGCTCCCACCTGGTTCCACTCCCCTGGTGTCCGCATCAGGGTGGATGGAGTGTCTCTAGTCAGCCACGGAGCCACCCTGGCTAGCCTCCCTCTGCCTTCCCTCACTCAGAAGAACTTGCAGGTGCCCCCAGGTGAGCAAGAATATATGCCAGTGGTTTGGGAGTCCCAAGGAAGGGGGCAGGGCCACCAATGATTATAATCCTCAGGGGGCAGGGCTTCCCAAGGGCACAGAATTCTAAGGAGGTGGGGGTCTCCCATGAGAATCAAATTCTAAGGGGGTGGGCCTCCTCCGGGGACAGACCTCTAAAAGGATGGGATTCCCAGGGGTCAAAATTTAAGGGGCCAGGAGCTAGAGGGAGTCAGAATTCTAAGCGGGGGGCAAGCCTCCCAGGAGTTCAGAATTTCAGAATTCTTGGGGCAAGACCTTGTAGATGGGCAGAATTCTAAAGAAGCAGGGACTCCCAGGTGACCTCGTAAATAAAATCTTTTCAGGGTCTTGGGGATTCCAAGGGGGGCTGTGTGTGTGTGTGTGTGTGTGTGTGTATGAAAGCCCCCTGCAGGGTCGAATTCTAACTGGGTGGGAATTCAAGAGGATGGCACTGAGGGGAGGGGAGGCACACCTAGGGAGCTAGGGAGGGGACTCTCTCAAGTGGTCATTAAAAATTGGGCAGCTAAGCCTCGCGGGGATATTTATTGCAAGAAGGTCTCCCTCAGGACCGAATCCTACGGGTTGAAGCACCCAAGGGAGTTAGCTGGCCTCCAATTCCTTAGAATTCCAACTCGAAGGAGGTGGGGCTTCCCAAGGGGCGGGGCCTCGCAGCGATAGACCAGCGAGGGGGCGGGGCCTCGTCAGGGAAGCCGCTCCCAGGGGGTGGGGCTCCGCCGGGAATACGTTAAGGGGCGGGGCCTTGTCGAGGTGGGAATTCCCGGGGGCGGGGCTCACCTGCGGCGCAGAGGCGGTGCATGCGCAGGTAGCTGATGGTGAGGCGCATGATGGAGGCCTTGTCCAGGTGGGCGCTGACCCCGCGAGCGAAGGGCAGCGTGTGCGCCAGCTGGTACAGCACCTCGGTCTCCTGGCTGCGCCGGCTGCGGGCCGCATCCCGGGACTTCTCCTTGCGCAGCTCCGTGCTCGACCTGCGGGCATCGGCAGCGTTCACTGGCGGCGCCCCCGGAAGGGAAAGAGTTGGATGGGACATGCACGTGGGGCGCTGCCACATGGGGCCCGGGCTCACAGAGGGCAGGGCCGCGACCGTGCAGGGCTCGCTGTGTGGCCCGGAGCTGAGTTCCCGGAGCTCTCTGGGCCTGCGAGGGTTATACTCCGGGGCAGCTTCTAGCCGCAGATTTTATCTGTCCCTGCGCCAGCCCAGGCTGCCCCCAGCTCCTCGCTCTCTAAGGCGTGCCCGGGGCCCGCTGTCCCCTCCCTGACTTATCTGTTGTTTGTTCCCCGGGCTTGGGACGCCTGGGGGACAGGGAGGCCTCCTGCTGGGAGGGGGCTGGCCGAGCTGGCCCCAAGCCAGGGAAGGGAGGGAACATGAAGATGTCAGCAGCCTCCGGGCCCCCTGCCCTCCAGCCTCCCAGAACCCCCTCTCCTGCCCTTTCCCCTCCTCAGCTGAGCTGAATCCTCAGAATCTTAGAACACAGATCTCAAAGTCCAACCACCCACCAACAGGGGCCCTGCCGATGTCATATAGCAAACCAACCCTAGTGTTCTCTGGAGCCAACAGCTAACCACTCACCCCTACCCTTTAATCCGCTTCAAATGTGGGATGGGGGGGGGTAGAGGGATGAGGACTGTTTTGTCAGAAATATCTGCCACTTATCCAGCTTTTTTCCATCAGTGCCCTGTGCCAAGTGGGTAACTTACATTAACCCACTAAGAGCTCAGACAACCCCAGAAAGAAGGTAATAACGTTATCCCCATTGAACAGATGAGGAAACCAAGGCACAGAGAGGTTGTAGTGCTTGCTCCTAAGGAGTGAAGGCAGGTTTGAACAGTGGTCTGCCTGAACTCTTCAGTCTTCTCTGTTCTATGGCCCTGGGTTTATCTCCAGGTTAGTGCTTCTCACTGTCTTAAATGTCTGAATCCAAACAACATAGGTTTTGGAAAAAAAACTGGAGTATATTACATATAGTACAGTATGCATAATCTTCTGTATATTTATAATATTGATAAAACCGTTAATAAGCAGTTACGATTTGCTGAGCATGCATGGGTCTGGCCCTGTTCTAAGTTCTCTGCCTGTGTGCACTCATTCAATCCCAGGACGCACCTTAAATTTCCACTTCACAAAGGGGACACCGGGGCTCTGAAAGGTAAAGTCCTTTGCCCAAAAAGTCACAAAGCTAGTAACTGGCAGAGCCGGGATTTGAACTCGGGCGGTGCAGTTCCAAAGCCTTCCTTCTTCTCTCTGATCCCTTCCTTGTGACCCACCCCGGGGAAGCAGAACTCTAGGAAGGGAGACTGTCCCTTCCAAAAACCAGAGGCCACTCCTGGGGATGGCATCAACCTCAGGGCCAAGCAGGAGACCTGCAGCCCCACCCACAGGCCTGATGGGGAGAGGGGAGGGGACATGGAAAAAACTCCATGCAACCAGTGGGAGGCACAGAAGGGGGCAGGCTGGGTGGAGGGGTGGAGGGAGCCAGCAGTCACCCCCATCCCCTCCCTCCTGGCTGGTGGGAGGCAGGGGCCTCCAGTCCTACTCTGCCCAGAGGACATTCCGTCCTGTCCCGTTCTGTTCCAGCCCTGTTTGTCTTCCTGCCCAGAGGGTGGGGGTGGGCGGGCCTCACCGAGCCGGGGGCCCAGACAGAGGGAAGAGGGAGTGGGAGCGGGAGCGGGGGGGGGGGGGATGGGGGGGGCCGGCCCCCCACCTCCTGGGCAGCTGGGCTCAGCAATCCTCTCTGTGGCTGACTTCTCCCTCCATAGAAGGAGCCAGCTGGTGGCTGCACGGGACCCTCCTTCCAGCTCCCAGCCTGACCTCCGGATGTTCTTCTGACAGGAAGTCCTGGCTTCAGAGAAGCCTGGGTCTCCAGCCTTTCTTTCGTTAAACTGAGTAGGGATGAGTTCGCCCAGAGCAGGGTTCCAGTCTCGACTCCACTACGTAAGAGCTGTGTTACTTTGGGACAAATTGCAGGCCTTCCCTGAGCATAACGACACAACCCCACAGGGTTGTTTTAAAGATTACATGAATTCATATACGTCAAGGACTTAGGACAGGGCCTGGCAATTGACAAGTGCCATGAGAAGGCTAAACTTTTTATTATTCCCTCTTCGTCGACATCAGGGATGGAAGGCTCCGGAGTCTCCTGCGCACTGGAGAGACCTGTGGGCTTTGGTGGTAACCCCGTGGTGTGGTGTGTGTACAAGACCTTCACACAGGCGCCTTGGAAGTAGACCAAAGCATCATGAGAGTAATCACCATGATCGCTTTGCTGTACTGAGCACTCAAGGAGCTAGAGACCCCCTTAAATCCTCTCAATAGCCCGATGCAGCAGGAAAAGTGGTCTCCCTTTCACAGGGCCTGAACCTGAGGCTCTGAGCAATGGCATCACTGGCCCAAGTAACCCAGCTGGTAATCAGGCCCCCCACCCCACCCCACCGCACGGTGCAACTATGTTCCATGCATCTCAGTGAGTCCCACGCTGTATCTACTTCTACCCAGAACACTGTCTGACTTGAACACAGTTTATTGCAACCCGTGGGGTATCCTGCCCCTAAAGATCGGTTCCCTCACTGCTCTTATTTTGATGTGGTGCAGGGGAGGGGAGGTATGACCCCCCACTTTCCAGGATATGTCACTGAGGCTCAGAGAGGCAGTCACTGGCCCAAGGCCACCCACCCAAGAAGCAGATGAGCGGGGATCCGAACCTGACTTTAGGGCCTCTGCTCTTAAATGCATGCCTGGGTGGGCACGTCCACCCCAGGGGCCCCCGCCCTGTCCCTCCTTTGCCCGGTGGCCTCAGTGCCTTCCCCTTGTCCCACCTCTGCTGCCTCCGGATTTCCCCAGCTGGCCAGCCTCCCCAGCTGGCCCCATGCCCAGCCCTGGTCCAGCCCCCTGGCACCCTGCCCAGCTTGGGACGTGCAGCTGGAACCCTGCCACCCTTCCTCTGTGTTCCAGCAGAGAACAGAAGGCGGGGCCAGGGTCTGGAGGCCCCAGAGTGAGGCCTGGGAATGGGGGCTGGGGCCCAGTACCCCCCGCCCAACCAAGAGAGGGAGAAGCCCACCTCTGAAGAAACTGCCACCGGAGAGCAAAGGCAAGGAGAAAGTAGGAAGACCCTGAGCCACATTCAGGGCTGCTCTTGGCCCTCTCTCTTCTGACACTGAGCGGGTAGTGGGGGTCTTGAAGAAAGTAGAGAGGATCTATGGGGCCTTGGGCTGTCCAGAAGCAGGGTTTGGGTTTGAGAAAGGACTTGGGGTGGGGTCAGTCAGGAGGAGTCTCTCTGCCTCTGCCTCTGCTCATTCCCAAGGACATGGTAATCCAGTGGGGTACCTGTACCCAAAGTCCATCTTCTCTGGGAACCCTCGGATCTGGGGGGCACCCGGGCCCTTATACCCATCAGGGCCTTCCCAAGAACATCCCCCTGCCCGGCGTAGGATGGCAGTAAGCCTGAGCTGGAAGAAGGGAAAGGGGTGAGGAGGTATGGGGGCCCACTCACCATCACCCAGGCCCCCTTTGGCCCAAGGGCCATCCTAGGGGTGCAGGAGGGGACGGAGCGTGGCCAGGATCCGGGTGCGAGTTATGAGTGGGTGGTGCGCAGCACTGGGATGACACCACAGGAAAGGGCTGGCCTTGGTGGTGGGGGGGAGCGCCCCAGCTCAGCCAAGAGGGGCCCCCACCTAGCCAGGAGGGGGCGCTGGGAGGGGCTGCGCTGAGACTGGCCCAGAAGGGGTGGGATGGAGTTCCCTGGCAGGCCCAGAGCCAGAGACTGGAATAGAACTGAAGGGGGGAACAGCAGGGGAGGGGGGACTAAAAAACATGGGGGTGTGGACAGACCCAATCAGACCTGGGAAGCCAGGGAGGAGGGAAGGGGGTGAGGCTTCCAGGATGCCTCAGATTGGACAAGGGAAACCAAGGGCCTGCAAGATTTTCCAGGGCCCCAAGAAAACATGGCCAGGTAGACCCCCTGGCATTGGACCCAGAGCACTCAGCAGATGGAAGTGATCACAGAAACCTACCCTCTGGCCAGTAGGACCCAGCTGAACACTTCGGCAGGGGGTGCTCCCATCAAGGCTTGCACTGAATCAGGCACAGCACCCTCCATGGGGGATTCCCCAAATAAGGCTTGGATGGTGTGCCCCTGTCCACAGTCACAGGCACTGAGTGGGGGTGGAGAGGGAGATAAGGGGCTAGACTTTGGGAAGTGGGTCAGGCTGTTTCTCTGTTATTAAAAGGGGTGAGTCTACCTTTCAAAAGGATACAAAAAGGTCCCTGGGAACGGTCCCAGGTAGTTGCTGAAAGGGGACCCCCCCTCTTGCTTATTTCTAAGGAACCCAAGGTTTGAGAGACTGTCAGGGAGCACCCAATTATAGGGGATCTCTCTCTGCTCTTGAACTCAGAATCTGACTGCCCATTCCAAGGGACTCCCTGGATCTGGGAAGGCTTAGTTTGGCGGTACCCCATATACTCTAGGACCCCCAGAGTCCCGTGGCAAGGAACAACCTCAATTCTGGGAATTCGGAGGCCAGTAGGTTCAATACGTGGAAGGAGAATGCCTTCCGCAGAAGCCCGGGAACTACTCGAACACAAGCACCCCCAATTCCGTGCGGACCCTAACCTGGAGGGAAAGCGAACCCGGAGCAGCAGGAAATTGGGGATCACCACCCTGAAGTCACTCCAGGCGAAAGGGGCGGGGCGGGGCAGCCGGGGACTGGAGGAAATCCCCCTTGCCTGCAGTCCCGTAGGGTGGAGGGTGCGCCGGGGATGTGCCTCCCACCGCGCGTCCCGGGGCGTCCTCGGCTTGCACCCGCGCATCCCCCACCCGGCTCGGGGGGGGTCCCTGGAAGGAGAGCCCCCACTTCCCATCATTCCTGCCCCGAACCCCAGTACCTTGCGCGCTGTAGCCCCAGCGCCATGGCTCGCCGTCGCCGCTCCGGAGCCCTTCGAGGCCCCTAGCCCCCTCCCCTGGCCCAGCGAGCCCCCTCCCCAGCTCCGCCCCCCGCCGCGCCGTTGGCTGCGCCGCGCCCGGCCCGCGGGTCCGGTTGGACGACGGGTGTGTCACTTCCCAGAAAGAGGCGGGACCAGAGGCGAAGACCTGGAACTCCCGGAGCGGGGGGGGGGTGGATACAGCGGCGCACACGGCCCCCCCAGCCACACCCCTAGCCGCGGGCTTCCTCGGCAGCGTCGCCCGCAACGTCCGCGGGCCGCGCCTCCTGGCCCAGCCTCCCTCGCGAAGTGCCGACACCAGCCCTCTCCCGAACCACCCAGTTCGCTCTGACCTGACGCCGCACCCTCTAACCCTCACCCCCGGGCCACCCCTCCATTTCCCACCCCCGGTTGGGCCCCTCAGACCACCAGTCCCACCCCCTGCAAGTCGCCCCGCTCTGCTTCCTCCATCTCCTCGTCCTTACCCACGGAGGACCCCCGCTTCTCACCACCCCTACCGCAGCTCTACAATCCCTCCCCCTCTGCATCTCACCATTCCCTCTCGGTCCGCAGCCCCTCTGCCCCCATCCCTGCAGCCAGTACCCCCACCTCACCCCGCTCCTCCAGGGGGGCACCCTTTGTACCCCAGCCCCACCTCCTTGCCTCCCTCACTCCCTTTTCAAGTTCCCACTGTTGAATGATTAAGTTTATGTCAAGTAAATATGTAAAACCCAAACACACCCACTTTTTAAAAGAGCAGAGAAATGGTATCTTTCTACTAGTGAAGTAAGAAGAGAGAGGTACAAGGTCACCAAGGAGTGGCTAAAGCATTAGGCTTGGCTAGGGAACCGAGTGTGTGTGTGTGTGTGTAGGGGACGGTTTACTAATCCACAGGGCACCGGTATTCTGGATGCAGCTTTGGACAGGGAAAAGGATACTATAGTCAAAGTTTGTAAGATTTGCCCTCCCCAGCTTTGCCCTCACTCAGCTTTCTTGCGGGGAATCATTTCTTTCGGCTCTCACTCTATTAAATTTGAATAGGGCTGGCCATAACCCTCCCCGCACCAGCTCCAGAGACGTAGGATCCAAACCTAGCCAATCAGTTTATTCTGTTTCCTTGGTCACAGTAATTGGTTCAGGGAAGACATGTGACCTAACCTGGCCAGTGAGAACCAACCCTGAGACATTTGCTGCAACTAAAGAAAAAGGTTCTTTATTTCTACTGGAGTTGCCCAGCTGGTGGGAGGTGAGCCTGTCACCAGGAAAGAAGAGGCTTTATGAGATGAAAGTTTATACAGAAGAAAGCAGAAATGAAAATTTGTGAAAGACGGTCCTGACATCAGCACTTGGGTACCTGGATCCAGCCGTACCTGGACTTCACTTTAATCTCAGAACCATTATGGGGTTTTTTGGCTGTTGCTGTTGTTGTTAAATATTACTTTATTCTTTTACTTTGTGCTTAGATTGGTGTGAATTAATTTCAGCTGCTTTCACCCAAAAGAAAGAATCTTGATAAACAGAGAAAACATCTCCCACGCTCCAGTGTGGAGGCATGTGGAGTATGAGAAAACAAGAGGCCTAAATTAGAAAGGGCTGCTGGGGAAGCAGTATCCTACGCTAAGAAGTAGGGGCTATGCAAGACACAGCAGAGAGCCATGTGAGGATCTACAGGACCCAAGGAAAACTGGCACTTGTTAAACACACATTGAAACAGAATTTACAAATCCGTATGGATGCACCAGGCATCTATGATCTAGGTTAGCATGAAGCTTCACTCGGTGCTTCCTGGCAGCTAAGGCAATAGGGGAAATGTGTTCGTTGAAATGGTTTCCCATTTTTGCTGAATGGATGTGTTCTTGTTTGCCTCGAGAAACAAGGTTTGTTCCTGGAACGGAAGTTTAGCAGAGACCTTTTTGTTATTAAAATGTAGACTGATCTGAGCCACCAGGGACCATGGGAGCTCTGTGCAGGTGTCTCACCCAGCCTCTCAAGAAGGTTTCCTAAGGAGGAGACATCTGAATGAATAGGATGAATAGCAGTTAGAAAGGTAAAGAGAGGGCTAGGGAAAAGTACTCTGGACAGAGGGAAGAGACTATAATGGTGCGGAGGCAAGACAGCTTGGTACCATGAGGGACCTGAGAAGGAGACCGCCTGCAACCTGAAGCGTAAAGAGGTGGGAGGTGATGCTGGAGTGGTGCATGCAGGTGAGATCAAAGCAGGTCTGAAAGGCATTGAAGAAGATTGGGCAATCTCCTGAGGGCACTAGGGAGCCATGGCAGAGTTTTGAGCAGGACAGGAACACAATGTGTGCCTATAACGATTCCTCTGGTTGCTCTGTGGAGAGCGGATGATGGGGTGAGACAGGAGGTCAGAGAACTGGAAGGAGCCTGGGTATAAAGAAGACCGGGGCCAGGGCAGGGCCATGGGGGGTGAAGGAGAGGAGGTGGATTGAAGAGATATTGAGGTTCACATACCAACACATCAGTATATCAATATGAATAACAAACTGTGGTATACCCACATGGTGAACACTACCCAGCAAGAAAAAGGATGAACGATTGATACGCATCCGACATGGATGAATCTCAAGATCATTATGCTGAATGAAAGAAGCCAGACACAAAACAAAGTATGCTGTGTGATTTCAATTACATGAAGTTCCAGAATGGGCAAGGCTGATCGCAGGTGGGGAAAAAAAAAATCAGGACAGTGGTTCCTTATCTTGACACAGTTTGGGTTACAAAGGTATATGCATTTGTCAAAACTCAGCAAATCGTACTCTTAAGATTTGTGCATCTTGTTATATGTAAGTTTTATCTCAAAAGAGAAAAATCTGAAGAGCAAACAAATATTGATAGAAGGCAGAAGGACTCAGGAGACAGAGTGCCAAATATACAGGAGGAGCTGTTGTAGGCACTGGGGATATGGTGGTGAACAAGACAGGTTAAGATGCCTGACCTGCCTTCATGGAACTTACACTCTATTTGGGCAGAATGACTATACACAGAAACGTAAGTGAAATATATAGTACATTTTAACAAGTGCTATAGGGAGATGTAACCCAGAGAATGGAGGGCGTAGTGATTTTTGGCAGTGGGAGCTATAATTTTAAATGGTTTGGTTGTGGAAGAGCTTAATGAGAAGGTGACATCTGAGCAAAGACTTGAAGATGAGGACGGGGGATACCCCATGGATTTCTGGGAGAAGAGTGTGCTAAACGAAGAGAACAGCAAGTGCAAAGGTCCTGAGGTTGGACTGGCCCAGTAAGTTCAGGGATCAGCAAGGAGACCAGTGTGGCTAGAGCAGAGGGATGGATGGGGAGAGTGCGAGATTAGGTCAGAAAAGGTGGTGTGGGGTATGAGGTGGACAACGGTGTGGGAAGATCACGTAGGATGGGTTTTTAGGTTACGCGTGGACCTTGGCTTTCACTCTGAGGGCGATGGGAGCATGGGAGGCTTTTGAACAGGGACGTGACATCTGGGTTAGGTTTGAATGAAGTCCTCGTTCCCTTCAGGTGGGAAAGAATTGGAAGCTCTCTCGTTTACAAAACAAACCATCCCACGGAGAGATTTATTTTGCTCATGAATTGCCATCTGGGCAGGGCTCTGTGCAGAAAGCTCACCTCCACCCTACCTGGCATCAGCAGGGGCCGCTCAAAGGCAGTGGGCTGGCATGATCTGCAGCTGCCCCACTCACCTGCTTGTTGTTGCTGCTCTCAGCTGGGACCTCACCTGTGGGCTGTGGCTGGAACCTCCACACGCGACCTTTCCACGTGGTCGCTTGGGCTTTCCCACATCGTGGCAGCTGGGGCCCCGGGAGGGAGGGAGGAAGAGCGAGCGAGGGAACAGGCAGGAGCCGTGTCTCCTTTATGACCTAGACCTGGAAGCCATGCAGTGTCACCCTCCATGCCCCTTTCTCAAGTCAGTCACGAGGTCCTGCCCAGCTTCCAGGGGAGGGAAGAGACTCCACTTCCTGATGGGAAGGGGCAAGCTTGCACAAGGAAGAGCTCATGGGACTCAAAATATTCCTGTGGCCATTTGGCGGGGGTAACATGAGCCACACTCCTCATAAGACCATCTTGGAGCTCTGCCTAGGAGCAGCCCCGTGGGGGTGGAGTCTTGAGCTTTGAGATACCCGAGAAGGAACAGGGGGGATAGGGTCCCCAAACTGTGCAGACACCCAAATCTGATAAGTCAGGATCTCTGGCCACTCTCTCCTGTACATCTGCTCAGACATTTTACCCCTGGTGTTCACCTCCCTATGTTCACCCTCCCTGCTGCTGGAGATGGGCGGGAGTTGCTTCTAACCTCTTTTTTTTTTTTTTTTAAGATTTTATTTATTTGACAGAGAGAGAGAGCAAGCACGTACGTAGGGGGGAGCAGCAGAGGGAGAGGGAGAAGCAGGCTCCCTGCTAAGCAGAGAGCCCCATGCGGGGCTCGATCCCAGAACCCCGAGATCATGACCCGAGCTGAAGGCAGATGCTCAACCAACTGAGCCACCCAGGCGCCCCTGCTCCTAACCTCTTTACAGCTACCTCTTGTGATCTGATTCTCTCCCCACTCTCCCTTCCCCGGACTCTGACTCCTAATCATATGGGTTTAGAAAGGCCAGCTGGCATTCCTGGAATGCTGCCAGGGGCAGAAAATCCCTCCAACATCGAGCCAAGACTAGCCTGGAATTAGGTGATGGAAATAAACAGCACAGGTCAGAAGTATCATGCACGGCTCCTGTGCCAAGTGCCGTACTAAGCCCTTCGCATTCCTGCTCTTACTGGAACATCATGACAACCCCATCAGGTATTTCCCTGTAGTGTGGCATTACCATCCAGGGTGCTGGCGCCCGCCTGCCTGGGTTCAAATCTTGGATCCCTCATTTGCCAGCTGTGTGACCTTGGGCAAGTTACTTAACTTCTCTGCGACTCCGAGAGTCATTTCCGAAAAATGCATTTGATAAAAACCACACTGTCGCCCAGGGTAGAGTGGATTATTGTCTCCCGATCTCCATTTCCTCC